TATTATATTATATTATATTATATTATATTATATTATATTATATTATAAAGTAGCATTTATCAAAAGTGTCTGGTATTGGTTAAAAAATCGGGAGGTAAAGTGATGAAACAGACTAGACAAGGGAGAAGCTGAAATAGTGTAACTCAATAACCCAGGGTCCCATGAACCAGAAAACTTAAATTACTTGGGAAAGAAAACTCTGTTTCATAAAATCTGCTGGGAAAACTCGAAAACAGTCTGGCAAAAACTAGGCTTTTGCCAGCACTTTATAGCACATTCCACAATACATTCTAAATGGCGATGTGACCTTACTTAGAAGAGAAGCATATCATACAACTCTCATAGCTGTGAATAGAAGATATAGTCTTAACCACAAGAGATAAACAAGTATAAAAGATAAAATAATTAACTTTGATTACATGAAACTGGAAAGTTTTTGCACAGATCAAATTAATGTACCTAAAATAAGAAGGAAAATGTTTGAATGGGGAAAAAAACAACTTTGTATCAAAATTCCCTTATAAGAGTTTGGTATCCAAGATGTATAAAAAACTTACATACATTTGTTATTCAGTCATTTTCAGTCAGATCTGACTTTCATTACCCCTTTTTGTGTGTGTTGAGTTGGGGAGGGGCGTTCTTGGCAGGATACTAGAATGGTTTGCCATTTCCTTCTCCAGCTCATTTTACAGATGAGGAAACTGAGGCAAACAGGGTGAAGTGACTTGTCTAGGGTCAAACAGCTAGTAAGTGTCTGAGGCCAGATTTGAACTAAGGAAGATGAGTCTTCCTGATTCCAGGCCCAGCACTCTATCCATTGTGCCACCTAGCTGCCCCTGAAATAGTAGTGGTCCCTCTAAGAGAAATAATAAAAGTTTAAAATGTTGTTTGAGGAGAAAGATAATGAGTTCAATTTTGGACATGTTGAGATGTCTCCAGGACATCTACTTTGAAATATCTATTAACCAGTTGGTGATTGAGAATGGTCAGGGAGAGCTTATCAACTGCCCTGACCAGACCATTTCCCCCAACTTTTCCCAGCAATGAATTCATCTATCCAGTACTGGTTTTAAAAGGTAGGTGTATTACTCAGCTTATTAAAATTTCCCCTTAAAATGATGGGTTGCTGATTCATTGCCATTAGTGCTTTTTCCTGGATCTAAAAGAGATTTTAGGTAATAAGTCAAATCCCAAGAGATTCCAACTCAGTAATTGCCACTGCTGACATCTTAAAGCAGTTGTTTTGCATTAACATTAATAAGATGATAAATTAAGACTGTTATAGTTTTAGCAGAATACATAATACAACTTTGAAAGTAACTATCTTTTATATCTACAGAATGCATGTAAAATATTTTTAAATGTATCTAATTCCTTTCTGTTTTATCTTCACCTTGCATTCATAATTATATATATTTCATTCATAATTCATTTCAAAGTATGTATCAGTGATACAAAGTAATAATCATGAAAGTAAAATAACATAAGAATTTACAGAGAAATGGTAAGGGCTTAACTCAGCTAAAGTGGGTTCATATCTGAACTTGTAGGGTTTTTATAGTATTTTTATCCTCTTCTTCGGAAGTAGGAGGCTAGCACAATCACCTTGCCTTTCTATTTCAGTTTTAACTTTTAGAGAGGCAAATCTTTTAAAATGGGATCTTCCGAGGTAGGAGAAACCCTCATGATTAAAATGCTGGTGTCAATGGTATTTGGTGAGAGAATGGAAGTTTTTAACAAGAAATATTAGTATCTTATATGGATTGTAAAACTAACAATACATAAAAATGTAGAAGTTGTCTGCTGTTCCATTATTTCAGTCAATTTCCCAATATCATACAATATATCACGAAAGTCTTAGTGCAGTTTTAAGCCACTAAAACTTAAAACTGTACTAAGACTTTTGGAACACTCTATATGCTTGGCAGATAGGATAATATGGCATTTTTGTTGAAGTAGTGAAAGAGACTTTAAAGTATGTCATTTAGTTGAGACTTTGAGCCATAATGTGAGGCGATTAATAATTATCTGTAAGGCAGAATAAGTATACTTTAAGTTATCCTGAGATTATCCATTGATTTGATAGTAATCTAAAATCAGAAATTACAATAGTGAATAATCACTAATTCAACATTACTCTCACTAAAAAAATTAATAATAGCAAGAGCAAAAAGAGGTTTTTTTTACCATTAGTAAATTTTTAAAATATTTTAAATTTTATTTCATCCTTTAAAATTTTTATTTTGTGTATGTTTTATACTGCACATGATTTATTAGTGCAAGAGTATATGTGTATAGTTTATAAGTAAATGGATGCCTCCCCTGATAGGAATAGATGATCAAAGAATATTGGAGACCACTGATATGTAATTATAGCTTTTATTAAAAATTTTATCACAGTTTTTCTGAGGTGTGTTCTCTTGTGCTTAGTTTGGTATGAAAAATGTAATTTCATCACTATTTTTTTGCTTTCTCCAGACCTATCATGTAAGCAAAGAAATGGGGAGACTTACAGCCAGAAACATTATGTTTGCATAGAATGGTCAAGACAGTAAGAAACCTTGGATTTTGGATCACAGTTAGGAAAAATATTTCCATAGTACCACATTATATATGCACTTTAGTTTATTGTTGTGTGTTTTTAAAAATATTTTTAAAAAAGTTTTGCCTCATTATAAATGAAGCATCTTGCTATAATGGAAAGATTACTAGACTTAGATTCTGACCTGGGTCAGAGTTAGAGTCAATAAAACACTTGTTAAACACGTACCAGCTACTTACCCGTTGGGCAACTGGGTGGTGCAGTGAATAGAATACTGGGCCTGGAGTCAGGAAGATTCATCTTTCTGATTTCAAATCTGTCGTCAGACACTTACTAGCTACCCTGGACGAGTCACTTAACACTTTGCCTCAGTTTTCTCATCTGTAAAATGAGCTGGAGAAGGAAATGGCAAACACATGGACATGGCTGCAATGCCTGAATAACTAAGTACCAGGCACAGTGTTAAGCCCTGAGGATACAAAGAAAGGCGTAAGACCATCCTTGCCCTCTAGGAACTTACTATCTAAAGGAGGAATACTGCACATAAAAAGAAAATGAAAAGGGTGGGGAAGAAGTTACTAGGCACTGGCCTGATAAAGTCCTAAGACAGGGATGTGAAATGACCTTAGAAAGTGAGCAGTTCAGAGCTGATTTCATCTTGTAGGTTGATGTGTTTCTGGAGCTCATGAAATCCAGAATAGTTGGATGGGACGTGATGAAGTGAATTCTCTGGGTAACTTCTCCAAACTGAGGATCTGGGAGGAGCTCCCATCTATGCACTCCCCACCTTCTCCAACCTGAGGGAGAGACAACAAGGGCAAGGGATACTGAGAAGGTGTGAGTTTCAGAGTTGATTGATTACATCTTGTAGAGATCATAAAGCCCAGGAAAGTAGCCAGATGGAAATGATGAAGTTTGAATTGAATCCTCGGTGCTCCATTTATAGCTGTGTGACCTTGGACAAATGGTTTGTCTGACTCCCAGGGTCATTGTCAGATCAGTTGAGATAATACATCTAGTATTTGTTAAACTTGAAATGCTATATAATGCTAGCTATCATGTACCGTGTTATATTATGTTATAGTTAAGCTAAAGCTATCTTTACCTAATTTTATTTTTCTGTTCTTTATAGTTCTCTGCATATGATTTCATCCCAGCTCCAAAATTAAGGCCCTCTCAAGGAATGCCAGTCAGTGATGATTTATGTTTTAGCAGAAAAAGAGTGTCAAGAAATTTATTTCAGAATAGCTTGGATTTTAACCCAGAGCTGCCTCATGTATATGCTGGTAAGTAACAATTGCAGATAGAGAGCATGTTTAAATAAGTGAAAGACTTTTTTATACTATGAAATTGATTAATTTGATAAGCATTTATTTACATAACCTAAATATAAAATGTGATATCACAAAAAAATTGGAAGAAAACATGTTACCTTTTATAACTGAGATAGGAGGAAATTAAATTAAATAAAACATCATAAAAGATAAAGATAATTTTAGTTGCCAGATATTTTCCTTAACAAAATTAGTGTAACTGCTGTTAACCAGAGAGAAAAAATCTTTTCATCAATTAACCTCTGATAAAAGTCCAAAATCAACACAGGAAGTAGACACAAAAATATAAGACTAGGAGTCATTCTGTAACAGATAAAATTATATTAAGAAAGTCACAAAACTGTTGATGTCCTTTGGCCCAGTGATCCTCATTGTGGGAATATAACCGAAGGAAGTGAAAGATGGAAAGAAAGGCCTCACAGTATTCATAACAATAGTTCTTCTAGCAGATATCTTGAAACAGAGTGTGTGTCCAGCAGTTGTGGATGGCTGAACAAACTATAGCATATGAATGTAATCAAATACTGTTTTACACTGGGAAATGAATATTTAATCCAATTCAAAAAGTATTATGTACTTATTAAGTAGTGAGCATTGGGCATAAAGAAATATAATGAAACACAGTTCCTGCCTTCAGGAAAGGACAGTCAGATTTAGCGATTAGAAGATACTTGGTAATCTTAAAGAAAGCATTTTTAAATAGAGGTAAGAAAGCATTTCAAATTGGAGATAAGATTGGAAGCCATGTTGGAATATATAGAGAAGTAGAGAAGAAACGGAGGAAGTGAATATAGACAAATTTTTCTAGAGTTTGGCTGTGGGAGTGGTCTGTCAAATGAAGGTTTTGTCCAAGGAGTCAGGAAGGAATGGGATCCAGACCACTAGTAAAGAGATGGAAGAGGAGAGAATCAGGAATGATGTCTGGAGGGTTTGAAATGTAGAATTAGGGAGCAAAGGAGGCTGATAATTGATGAATTCTCTATTTTCCCCAAGACATTATGAGGCATAGTCCTCTGCTGAGAGGAGAAGCTTTAGAAAAGAGAAGATTCAGAACAGTTTACTCTGGGGAATGTAATGATGAATCAGTTAAGGCAAAATAAAAGAATTACTGTTCAGTAGAGAGGGTCCAGCTGATACTGTAAGAGATTTTTGACCAATCACATCTGCATAGTTATATGATTTCCTTCAGAATTGTAGTTTGGCAGGTCATAAACAATAAGAAGACAAGGGGTCAAGGGATCTGACAGTGAACAACATTGTATAGTTGAACTGGTTAAATATAAAAAGTTAAGGTATATCTTTGCTCTTTACTATATATGTGTGACTTTGGAGAAGTCAGCTTAACCTCACCTGAGTCTTTTTTATTCTTAAAATGAAGGGGAAAAAAATAAAATAAAGGTGTTGGCATCAGCTTGCCAAACACGATAATTAATTGGAGAGTCTGTGGGAAAACAGACACACTAATGGACTATTAATAGAGCTGTGAATTGGTACAGCCATTCTGTAAAGCAGTTTGGAACTGTGGTGCCCAGAACGTCAATGAGCTGTGGCTTTGACCCAGTGATACCACTACTAAGCCTATTGCCCTAAAAAAGATTAAAGATAAAGAATGACCTGTATGTACAAAAATATTTGTAGTTCCTCTTTTTTCTTTGAACTGGAAACTAAGAGTGTGCCCATAGATTGGGGGATGACTGGACAAATTATGACCATAATGTATTATTGTTGCACCATATAAGATGATTAAAAGGGACAATTTCAGGGAAATCTGAGAAGACTTGTACAAATAGATATACAATAAAATGAACAGAACCAGGAGAGAAATTTGTGCAATAACAATATCATAAAGAAAAACAAATTTGAAAGACTTAAGAACTCTGATTGATACAATGACCCAACACATTTCCAAGGAACCAGTGATGAAACATGCTCTCCACCGTCTGAGACAGATAGGTGATAGACTAAAGGTACAAAAGAAGACATACATACATTTTCGGTTATAGCCAGTGTAGAAAGTATTTTGCTTTTCTCTTTGTTCTTTATTCCCATTCTCTCCCCCCCCTCCCCCTTTCTAGTGCCTTGCTTCTGGGATTACCCCTCATTTATATTGTATATACTTTGTTTTGTAGTATGCACAGTGACCATACCCCAGTAAACCATTTCAGCAGACAGACTAAACCAGATTGAGGGTAACCAAGGGGTCTCAAACCCATTGATGAGTTAGGGAATGTCTCTCCCAGGTGTGGGAAGACTTCCACCAGCAAAATGGGTGAATGAGAACAATTTGTTCTAACAGCCTTGCAGATGGCTGAAGCAGGCACTATGGGATGCTTAGAGCTTAGTTAGTCATCAAAGATGCAAAGGTCATCCACTGCACCGTGAGTCACCACTAGTTGTCTTGACTTTTGTCTTGTCACTGGACTCTGATGACTGTGGAAGAGAAAGTGAGTTTGACAACTTCATGCAACCCTGCCTCACCTAAATCCAATTTATGCGAAAATCAAAGGACATCACTCATACCATTTTACCATTTTTACCTACCTCAAAGTCCTGTGGTGACAGGCAAGTGACAAAGCAGCACATGCAGATACACTGGGAGCTATAGTCACAACTCTGCACACAGTTGGCCCAGGCCATAGGGTCATCTTCTCACTAGACTGAAGCAGCAGTGTGATTCAGCAGCCCTTATGTGTCTGAACAGCCTTTTTTGAAGGAACAAATTGCTCATCTCCTGGCATGTGTAAGGGACTAGAAAAGGTGCCCTTTTTAAAAACTGTCTGCTTCACGCAGCTGTGGCCTGCTTACTATGGAAGGTGGGTATCCCACTCTGCAGCCAAAACAAAAAAATGTACAAAAACTTTTGCAAAGCTAATTCCACTTACTGTCAATACATGGAATGTGCACACTCTTGTGGACAACACAAAATCCAGTAAGCTTGAAAGATGAACAGCTCTTGTTACAAGAAAACTCAACAGGTTTTGTATCCAAATAGAGGCCCTGAGTGAAACGAGGCTGACAAATGAAGACCAGCTTACCAAAGTCAGAGCTGGTTAACATTTTTCTAGAGTGGCCACAGTGTTGGGGAGTGCTGTAGAGCTGGTATAGGTTTTGCAATCAAAACTCATCTAGTCAACAACCTTGTATGCCTGCCAAAAGGAGTGAATGGCAGGCTCATGACAATGTGTTGCCACTTGCAGGAAAGCAGCCCGTCACCATCATCAATGCATATACTCTTACCGTAACGAACTCTGAGGTCAAAGAAAAATTTTATGAACACCTGGAGAACCCTCATCATCAATGTGCTGAAAGAGAAGAAGCTTATAATTCTGGGTGACTTTTAATGCCAGAGTAGGCACAAACTACCAGACATGGCAGAGTCCTTGGAAGGAATGGAGTAGGAAACAGCAACAGCAACAGTCACTTACTTCTGAAGACTTGTGCATCTCATGACCTTTTTGTCACCAACACTGTCTTCTATTTCAGTAGAATGCAATAAAAACTTCATGGATACATCTGTAGCAAATTTTGGCATTTAATAGACTATGTGACTGTAAGGAGAAGAGATGGACAGAATGTGAGAGTGACAAAGGCAGTGTGTGGTATAGAGTGCTTATCCTCTCCAAGATAAATATTCACATTCAACAAGAGCAGCAGCCCCAAGGCAAGAGGACTACCAGAAGACTTAATGTCAGCAGATTAAAATGTTTCTCTAAGTGTGAACAGTTCCTTGCTAACTTGGAGGGAAAGCTGAGCCAACACATGGTTGGCAACAGTGGAGCAGAAGAAGAATGGGCAACTTTCAGAGATTTGGGCACCACATTAACTCATCTGGGCCAGAATACTCATAAACATAAAGATTAGTCTGATAAAAATGATGGGGAAATTCAGAAGCTGCTTAACAAAAAACAAGAACTCTTGTTTATCTGTCTCTAAAAAGGTAGTGCTTAACTCCATCAAAAGTAAGGTGAAAGCAAAGCTTAGAGAGATGCAGGATCCTTAGCTCAGTAAGAAGGCAGATGAAATTCAATTTTATGTGATAGTAACAATCCAAAGCACTTTTATGATGCCCCAAAGGCTATGTAGGGGCCAAAGACTAATGGTGCACCTCAGCTACTCAGTGCTGATGGAGCCACATTGATAAGGACGTGATCATGGAGAGATGGGCTGAACACTTCCCTAGTGTTCTCAACAGACCTTCATTAATCAGTGCTGAATGGAGAATAGAAGAATTTATACCAAACAAGAGATAGAGAACATTATGAAATGCAAAATGGATAATTTTGATTACATTAAATTGAAAAGATTTTGCACAAATAAGGCCACTGCATCCAAGATTAGGAGGGAAGGAGAAAATGGGGAAAGAATTTTTACAACCAGTATCTCTGATAAAGGCCTCATTTCTAAAATATATAAAGAACTAAGTCAAATTTATAAGAATGTAAGTCATTTCCTAATTGATAAAGGGTCAAAGGATATGAACAGGCAGTTTTCAGATGAAGAAATTAAAGCTTTCTATAGTCATATAAAAAAATACTCTAAATCACTATTGTTTAGAGAAAATATACATACCTATCAGTTGGCTAACATGATAAAACAGGAAAATGATAAATGTTGGGGAAGATGTAGGAAAATTGGAACATTATTGCATTGTTGGTAGAGTTGTAAACTGATCCAACCATTGTAGAGAGCTATTTGGAACCCAAAGGGCTATAAAAATGTGCATACCCTTTAACCCAACAATACCACTTTTAGGTCAGTATCCCAAAGAGATCATACAAATGAGAAAAGGATCCACATGTACAAAAATATTTATAGCAGCTCTTTTTATGGTGGCAAAGAATTAGAAATTGAGGGGATGCCCATCAGTTGGGAAATGGTTAAACAAGTTGTATATGAATGTAATGAATATTATTGTGCTATAAGAAATAATGAGCGAGCAGAGGTCAGAAAAA